GAGCCGCACAGCAGCTAAACGACCTCAGAAGGATGAAAGGCCTGCTTAGTCTGACCGGATTTCTATTCCCAAACAATGTGCGTCGCAGCTGGGCTATTGCGCCGCATCACCTTTGTACATTTGAAAATCATAACTTCAAAAAAGATGCCCTTCTCCGACGTACAACTCCCATGAATTTTATGCATCGTTTCGGTAATAATGTGTGAAAGTGATAAGCATTGAACTGACCACGTCAATAATCTGGCTAAGCCTCAGCTTGAGTTTTATTGTGAGCGGCTCGTGTGGTCCACTAGCGGGTCTAAATAAAAAGCGAAATTACTTGATTTTTTGATGACTGAAAAATGAAAATACATTGAGTAGCGGAAAAGAAAGAGAGTATAAAAGAAGTTATTTAGTGATGATAAGACGTACCCTCTAAATCATGTGGTGGAATCAAACTTGGCGCTGATCCACAACATTTATTTACTGATGGTATTTTCAATCAACAACGCTGTTTTGCACATAGGAGACGTCGTACGTTGGGAATTCTCGACGTGTGCGTCGTATTAAGCCATTGGATGGGAAAATAGATCGTATTTGGGGTGGGCAAAACGGGTTCTCACTGTAGATTTTTCTCGTTTCCGTGCACTGTACCTATACTCCCTCCCCTAGTCGGTACAGAGCAGCAAACCAGTATTCAGTTGGCTGAAGTCGTCTATCTCCCGCTCGTAGTACATAGTACACGTACATCGCATGGGGCGGAGCCAGTCCTTATAAATGTGTCTTTATCTTTGGTGCACCCCTACTCTTGTAGACAATAAGAAGATGAATCGCTCCAGTAAGGAAGGTGCAACGGTAGTTTTCACATCACCCACACGATCAATGTGGACTGGGGATTCTATTGGGAGACAGCGGATGTATAAATTCTACCTTGCACGGGTCGTATTCGGGCACTCGAGAGGAAATCAAAATTGGCGTCTAGGAAAGCTTTTTCATTGCTGATTTTACCTTTGCTGATGCTCCATATATTCTCCGTGTTTGCATTCCCTGCCTACCCCTCGCTCGGCAGTAGAAAAACTTGGGTAAAAGGAGAATGCGGTGAATGTCGCTCGCGGAAGAGGGTACTAACGAGATCGTCATTCTTTTTTTCGGAGTGGGGGAAGGAGGTAGAGTGGTAGTGATTACGATCGTTCCTGCTCAGCGTAGGCGATCAGCGTGCTGATAACATCATTTCACACATACCCATGATGTTCCCTGCTGGAAGATCCAAGCTGCCACGACGCGTATTCGTGAGCCATTGACTCAGCTATCTGAAGCAGTTCTTTCAAATCAAACAGGTTGTGGTGCGAATGGCGCGCACGTGACACCATTTGCGACCTTGCGTTGTCGCGACCTGGATCTCCCAGCCCACACCAACTTGGACCATTCCTCTGGCACAGGGCATTTGAGTCCATTTTGTGCGGAGTAGGCATCTAACCAGTGCAAGAAGAAGCTGAGATTCTCTGATATCTAAGGCTGCGTTTATACTTTGCGGCAGCGTAGCGTAGCGCTTCCAGCGTACGCCAGCGGCAGTGCCGGGGAAAGGATAGATATCGATCTAGCTTCACCAGCGTCACCAGCGTACGCTAGGGCACGGGAAGCATAGCTATCGATCTAGCTTCACCAGCGTTTCTCGAGCGTTTCTCCAGCGGCACCAGCGTTTTGCTAGCGCTTGCAGCGGCAGGGAGTAGAGACTATGTGGCCGTGAGAGACGCGAGAATGTGTAATTGTAGAGACTATGTGGCCGTCGGAGACGCAGAAGCGATGTGCATTGTAGAGACTAGGGAGTGAGAGACGCGCAATCGATGTGTTTTGTACCCTCCAGCTCTCCCATAGTCTCTACACTCCACTGCGCTGCAACGCTAGCAAAACGCTGGGTCGAAACGCTGAAAATACGCTGGCTACGCTAGTCGTGACGCTGGTGACGCTGGGAACGCTAGATCGATATCCTCTCCCGGCACTGCCGCTGGCGTACGCTGGAAGCGCTACGCTACGCTGCCGCAAAGTATAAACGCAGCCTAAAGCAACATTGTGGGTTAATATTACAACACTGGAAAACAAAAAAGTGCAAAAAAAATAAAGCGGGTTAAAATAATATCAAAACCACAAAAATCGATAAATAAAGCTAATAACAAGGAAACGGAAAGTAAATAAGTTTTACCGTCTATGCCGATTGTAGTTAACCATGAGGTCATCGTACAACCTTTTTGCGTCTTCATTAGCATTGACGTAAAGGAACGACAGCAGCGAGATGACGAGGTTAAACACTTGCTGCATTTTGTCGATTATGAAAATCTTTTGTACAAGAAATCGCCGAGCGTCGTAGATGTTTCTAGTCAAGCATGCCCACGTCTAGCCGAATCCGTCCTCATAATTACTTTTCTGCAAAAATCGATTACTTCACTCGTATATTCGGCCAACAAAGAACGGTACAAATGTAGGGCGAGTGATATTGAACACAGAGTTTGAGCAAAATCCTATCCTGGGTAAACTGAGACTGTTCCAAGCTCAGAACGAGGGTGAAATGACGATATGTAGTCTTTCAGGTCTCTTGGGGAGGGTGAAAGTAAAGGATAAAGTCTTCGCCGTTGATCAATCCCTTTGTGGGATGCGGCACGCATTCTACTTCCATTCAGAATCGTAGTGGCTTATTGAATGCGATGTGGCCTATACAATGACTTGCGGGGGCCAGTCGATGTACAGTCAGTGTCCTTATACCTCTAGATGAATTTGGTTACAATTTACCGTCCCAGGGAGTAGAAAGTTGCGTTGGCTCGGGCAGGACTCGCCTAGAGATTTGAACCCAGGAAAGGAGTGGTAAGCGTGCCATTTGCCACTACACCACTTATGCCTCCTCTTGAGGAGAACGATGAAAATTTAGGATTACCAATGAGCAAGTCTTATAGCATAGCAACAGTGTAGTTTGGGGGAGGAGGGAGGAGGTAGGAGGAGTAGGGGGCGACCCACTTGGAAGCGCATCTGTGTCCTTTCCCTCAGCAAGACTTGAGGATGAGCACAAAAGGAGACTATGCTTCTGCTGGGCTTCCATCTAACGGCACGTGCGGAACGGCGGCTGAGCTACCTCTGCGCTTCTGACCCTCCCCCCCCCTCACCTCAATATTTCTCACTTGTTCGATTTTTCAGCGAAGTCGATCGATTGTCCTTTTCAGGATCAGGAAATTCTGTCTTCTCTACGACACATCCCTTAACGATCCGTCTGCGCTCCAAGGCGCAACCTTAGTTAGAGGAACACAGATAGAAGTGCGACTGAGTGTTCCCTCATCCCCCGTTCCCCCTCCCATTCACATTACCGCCTGGTAGTGTTATGCATTTCTGTCTAGTGAACGATGTGTATTATTAGGTTGTCCGGAAAGTTCTCAGCGTTTTGAGTGTTTCACTTTAAACGATCATAACTTTCTTAATACTCATCGGATTCAATCGAAATAAGCACCGTTCGAATCAGCACACTTTTGCCAATGTGACACCAGTCGATAAATCCCATCAAAGAAAAAACTGGGTGGTCGAGAATCCACGAAGGCTTTTTTGCCTGGTCCTGATTGATGAAGTATTTTCCAGCAAGGAAGTTCTGAAAATGTTTGAAAAGGTGATAGTCGGTTGGTGAAAGGTCTGGAGAATATGGTGGGTGAGGTAGAACTTCAACCCCCAATTCGTTCAATTTATGGATAGTGATTTGTGAAACGTGTGGGCGGGCGTTGTCATGCAGAAGAATCGGACCCTTTCTGTTGACAAGTGCTGGCTGCAGCTGACGCAATTTTCGGTACATTTCGTCGATTTCTTCACAGTAGGACTCTGCTGTGATGGTTTGGCCTGACAAAAAGTTATAGTGGATCACACCAGCCGATGACCACCACACTGTGACCATAATCTTTTTTTCGTGGAGATTCGGGCTATTGAGATTGCGCCTGGTGTTCGTCGGCATCCAACCACTGTCCGGAACGTCTCCTGTTATCATACATGATCCACTTTTAATCACAGGTGACAATTCGGTCAAAAACGGGTCGTTCTGCTGCGCAAAAGCAGGAAAAGAAATCTCGAGACGGGCCAGTCACTCAGATTAAAGGCAGTTGGCACGATAAATCGCTATAGAGATCTAAGGTTTATACGACTGGCTTAACAGAATTCCTGACCTCGGAAGGCGCCTCCGTGAGCGCCTTTCGAGACGAGGAGTACCCCTATAACGCCTTATCGAGCAACAACATTTACGTCCCAACGCCTTCCTCGCCCGCCCGCCCACAAATGGACGACCGTTCCTGACGCTCGTATTCATTCATTTGCTAAGCAAATTATGAAGCGAAGGGATTGGTATGAAGCGGCCGTGATGCTGCATGCATACATGGGTACACATATGCAGCCGTATCTTCGGTTAGCCGCTGATTGCGTAAGATGATGCCTACGAGAAACTCGTCCGAAATCGATTTTACAAGTCACTGAGAACGGCTTTTTCTTCGCAGAATTTTGACCGTTTCACTCCGTTCTTTCGCCATTTCTCCACTATACAGCGCCTTACTAGCATTTTAGGCTAAGTAGGAAACCATCGTGCAGCTGCTTTAAAGGGCACGCAATTGTCGAGTTTTTTCACCTTCCCAATGCGTTTCAGACCATCCGCAACACTGGATTTGCCAACGCTAGCTTTTCTGCAATCTCTCGAACTGTTTGGGATGGGTCAGCCTCCACAAACGCCTTCAATCATCAGGTATTGCTTTAGGTCGACCGCAATGAGGTTAATCTTCATAGCTGGAATCTACCAGAACAAATTTGTCGGAACCCCATTGTCTCGCCAACTGTTGGCTTTCTCCAAGCACTTATTGGGGCCCACACCTGCTGTCGCAGCTGTCTCGACTACGGATTGACCAGTTTTGTAGTGAGAAAAAATATTCGTCCAAAGTTCTTTGACATCTCAAAAAGTCTGGGGGAAAAGGTCAGGTTTATCAGCCGATCTAAAAGCTGTTGGTTTGAAACTGGCAATTATTAACCATCGATAGCGCAAAAGTTCTCTCAGGAGTTTTCTATAGACGCAGGGAGAGAATGAGTTTTTAAGCACAATTACTGTACAAAATAAACAGTAACACAAAACGCTGAGAACTTTCCGGACAACCTAATAGTATAAGTAGCTGGGACCAAAAGAAATTGGCGCTGATTTTTCACTAAGAAATGCGTTCAGTGCTGCAATTTAGTTACTCTCTCAAATTCCCCATGCTATTCCGTTCACAGATGAACCCGTCAGATAGGCACTTGTAGGATGTGAGCGCTTGGATCTAATGGTAAGAAGTACGCGTCTGATGAGGAACTTCAAAGAGCTTCATTTTGTGGAGTCTATGGAAAGCCACTCAATCACTCCACGTTCGCTGGCTGGTGGTAAGTGCCTACTGGTCATTGTTGTATCTTCTTACTTGCTACTTCAGAGAAGGAGGAGGAGCTGGAAAGGCTGCCGTACGTGGTCCATTCTGATTCGCTTCCATAGGATCGAGCGCCGATTGTGTCGCTGAGAAGAATACCTAAAACACTGGAATCTCACCCCTCCCATAGTTAAGGCAAAGCCCGCCGACCACAGATTGTGGGTAACGGGAACCGACCATAGGAACGAAAGAGCAGGCATAGGCTGACTTGCGGAGAAAACGCAGAAAAAAACACCGAAAAATACCCTACAATAGATGCCAATCGTTTTCAACTTGTACATGCATGCAATGAAGAAAACGCATGTTTGTACGAATTTCCACTCGTCGTTATCATAAAGATATCAGCTCTTTTATCGTATCACCTCACTCTCACCATTCGGAATGGAGAGAGATAGCATAGTGGCTACTAGCTAGTAGCTAGCAGCCGGGTGGGGGTGGGGTGGTCGGCGTGAGCCCAAAGGGCGCCATGGGCCTAATTGGTTAGCTTGAAGCGGAATTCTTGCGATTTTCACTTTTTAAAGGTAGCGCAGCCTCCGCAATCTCCTTCCGGATCGTCTGACACATTTGAAAGGTCATAGCCTTATTTTATCGCGGAAAGTGCCTTTAAGATTGAGCAGCTCTTCTGCCAAAAGAGAGATGTGAGCTGAGCAGACGTGGGGCCTAATTGGCCCACTGGACCAAATGAAAGAAAAGCCTCGTTTTGGTCTTTGTAGACTCTGACGCTTCTTATTGTCGACTAACATTATCTCAGGTCCCGTGCCACTGAGGAGCGCGAACGATTCGTTCTCATCCACGGAATGGCTAGCCCCAATGAAAAAGACGAAGGATGAAGTCCTCACCGATCACTCATCGCTTTTGGGATGAGGGACGCGTTCTCCCTCCCTCAAATCGTGGCTTATTGGATGCGATGTGACCTATACAATGACTCGCGGGGGCCAGCCGACACATGTCAAGGTTATAATACTTCTAGCCGAGTCTGGGAACCAACTTACCGCTCGGATAGAGAGTTTGCTTGGCCAGGACGGGGACAGATCTAGGATCTTACTCTCGCATCGCACTTTTAAGCTCAACAGCTAATCCGACTGGTGGGCTTTACCTCCAGAAAACCCGGTTTGATTGAACAAAAGGGAGAAGGGTTACAAGAGCCCATTTGTAGTAGTGGAGTAAATGTAGGACGAACCCAATCTGCCTTCGCTTCACTAACATTTCTAGCGTTTGCGTGAAATAGCGCGATTAAGAGCCGAGTCGTCACTGACGAACGTTGAGCGCCAGCAATGTCCACCCCCCTTATGCCTACACTAGAACACAGCCTGATCGTCCACTCTCCTGACCAATCCAGAGCAGCACGAGAAATCCACATCACAGGTCAACATGGAATACCGAGAAAATGGGGAAAAGAAACTTGCCCCTGTTCAAAGAACAAAAACTCCGAAGACGCTGTCCGCTTATACACGAAATACGCAATAAACATCTGAAAAAAGCAAAAACTGCACTGAAGAAGGACGGACCGCTAAAACGAAAACGTTCACAATCTCATCAACTGCGCGGACAACGGAAATGGGTATCCCCTGACGGAAGCGATCCCTTCTCGATCAGGACAGAACTTAAAAGAAACGCCCACTTTACCCAGCAACTGAGCTATGCCCCCGTAGTCGTCAATTGCCATTACCTGATTTACCATTGCAAAAAAATCCCTAATTAAATGTGGATCTGGTGTTTCACTTCTGTTACCTCCCATCCTACCCATCGAATCCCACCTTCATGAGGACTCATCGGTGGTTATCCGCGAATAGGTTGAAATCCCCCTCCCCACAGGAATAATCTGAACTTTCACCAGTATTCTCTTGCCGGCTCTTCCCTCCTATACACACGTCTCTGAAGCTCTTCTGTATCAAATTCTTGGGCAGCCATCGCTGTACTGCAGCTCGCCCAACTGGAAAACCACGTTGCCACGCAGCTCCCCTTGGCCTTATCCAGCGGACCACAACTATGTGATAGTCATCTTTGGAGGCCAGGCTGCTCTTAGAAAAAGCCCCCGTGTAATGTACACGAGTCAGTTTGCAACAATACCGAGCATTTGATTTCCAGTTTCTATGAGCCTTAAAAAATGAGTAATGGAGGAAACTAAGAATCATGGAGGAATATCAATAAAAGAAAAGCAAAAAAATAGAAATAGAATAAACAAAAAAGGAACTAGAATAACCATAGAATAAACAAAAAAATTAAGTAGCAATAAGTGGAGAGTACATAAAGATATCCCCCAGCCTTTTGATGGATATTAAACCACGATTCCATTTTTACGCTTCCACTGCAGACATGTAGCTCCTTTGAAAGGGCAACAACTTCTCGAACTGATAGGGCTTAGCCGGAAGATGGCCAGCCAAGGCATTTTAAGTAATTACGCCTACTGTAAAAGGAAAAGTGCTCGCCGTAATCATCACCTTGTGGGATGCACGCATTCTACTTCCATTCAGAATCGTAGTGGCTTATTGAATGCGATGTGGCCTATACAATGACTTGCGGTGGCCAGCACGATGTACAAGTCAGTGTTTCTTATTCTCCCAGGACGAATCTGGTACCAATTTATGGTCGGCCCGGGGCGTAGAAGGCTTGTTAGTCTGGCGCAGGAGTCGACCCGGCGACTTGAACCCGGGCGCCGCGCGAGTGGTAAGCGCGCCACTTGTCACTACACCACCTCCGCCTCATTACGCGTATTAATGTAGTATAAAGACAATTACTAATACTAATATCAAAATTACTTCCTGCTCAATACAATCAAGTCAATGGTAGTATCTCTTTTCAGAGACAAGGTCCCGAAAGATAAATCATCTTAGGGGCGACCGTATGGCTCAGAAAATTGCCAATAAATCCCGCGAATGGGTGAGGATGGAGCGGGTGACAAAAAATACCTGACACCCTCCCCGGTCTATCAAAATAACAAGAAACCAGTCCAGTGAACCACTCCTCAATCACCATCAGCCAAGGAAAAAATTTGGCTCATTACCATATCGTAGCTCACTCGGCCATGAAACTGCAACCTCTGATAAGAAATGATATTTATACTGGAGTTTCTTCGGCCCTCGGCATGTTTGTGCCGTGGATGCTTTACCAGTTATGAAGTTGGGCACGAGCCACCGTTCGCCTCGGAGGGAGCATTCTGCAAGGTTCCTACAACGTGGAGACATGTAAACTCGTGTAAGGCAGTACGGCACATATAATTGATGAAGTTCATACCATTTCGAATGTTTGCAAGTGTTAACAGACCTCACCGAGCAGGCTATGTTGGCTATGTCGGCTATTTTTGCCCCGTTTCGCAGCTCTTCAAGTTTACATGTCCTACCCAGGTAAGGAAACCGGGAGCAGTTCAGTTTGGTGGGGCATTTTTCTGGTTGCCATCGATCATTGATGATGCGCTCGGTCCAGACCTATAAATTCTTGTCAACCTGTGCTGTAACATGGCCCTTTTCTACACTTGACAAGACTGTAACAGCTCTCATCAAGATCAAACGTGGAAGTTAAAGGAACTAGCAAATAAAACCAGCGGACTAACCAAATGTCCCCCCCCCCCTGGAAAAAACAACGCCCGTAACCGAATAATCCGGCGAACTAGCCCAGCGATCCCTCCCAAATGGGTGACAGCGCTCCTGGGAAGCGACAATGCCGAAACGTCGAACCATATGAACGTTGCCATTAACGTTGTCAACATCCTTATTATTTACCAAAAACATATGCAAATTTCCAGCCCCATGAATGAACACAAAGAAATAAATGTGACATGAGCAATTCGAGAAGAATACACACTTGCATAATGGCTGGCCGCTTGGCGTCGTCTTCGATCGATAACCGCGCTTAGGCCCTCCGGCAGCAGCTGACTAATCCTCTACCTCAAGTCGACATCCCTCCGAAATGTCAAAAGAGCATGTTGGGTGGTAACACTTTTACTTCATACATATCAACCATTACCATCATGAACGGAATTATTAATTGTGATTGACGCACTTCACATTTTTTTAACAAATACATCCTTCAACACTAACAATTCAGAAAAAAAAATACAATTGGACTACTTTCACTTTCAATTGAATCAAATCGGACAACAACAGATTTCATCTTGACAACTCAGGCATCGCCCTCTTCCCCTCAAAAACAAGTCAAATAAAAACAAAGTTAAGTAAAACAAAACGTGATATCAATGGGCATTCTGCATTACAGTTTACACTTCCATTTTCACAGCAACACCAGCATTTGCAGGCTCGGCGCTTCCGTTCTCTCCTTCTTTTTTGTCTTTCTTCACTTCTGAAACTTTTGCAGCTTACTATAAGATCATGACACTTCTCTTGCTCTTTGTTAACACATTTTCGCAGCAGTGGTGAGAGGGGGAGGGGGAGTGGGGGTATGTGACAAGAGAATCGTTATTCGCCGCGCTGGTTTGCGTCGCGTGCGACGTCGCGCCCGCAAATGACGATGGTTCCAGGTAGTAGATGGCGACAACAGGCAATTCAGAACCGAAAATAGTCATGAATGTCTACATGAAGTCCGGTGCTCCAATCGACAGGTTAACACGAGTTAAGAAAACGCCGCGCCCATCGCCGCGCGCGGCAGAGCGGCAAATTACGATTCTCTTGCCCGTCTGCCGGGGGAGTGGAGGCATGTTTCACTTCTGCTACTTCTCACCGACTCATAATTGCCAGTTGTGCATCTCAAATACTAATGACAGGGTAGCAAATAA